CCCCCCGCACACAAAGCACCAGGACGCAGCGGCTCTTGTCACTCCAGCGGGGGGCCTGAGTCTCCTTCTCAGGAGCCGCCCCAGGGAACCCCGGTGCGCCTGTGGCTGCCAGAAGGGGCTCTGTGCCCACCCCACCTGATGCGCGCCCCCCTCCGGCAGGTTACGCCCCCAGCGACATGCCCGTCAAGGCCAAGCGCAGCACCTACAACTACAGCCTCCCCATCACCGTCAAAAAAACGAGTAAGGGGCTCAGGCTCCCTCTGCGGATCAGGCGCTGGGGAAGATGGGCATCCGGACGGCGGGATGGGAAGGGGCTTCCCGAGGAGGTCACTCCAGGGCACTGCTGGCCCGCGCACCCCGGGGAGGGAGGGCGGGAGAAACACACCCCCCCGTATTCCAAAGCCCTGCCGTGGTCCCCTCGCAGCCAGCCAGCTCGTCACCATGCAAGACCTGAAGCAGGGCCTGGGTCCCTCGGCGTCGGCCAGTGCACGCAAGTTGGCCTCCAACAAGTACAAGCTCAAGGTGGGTGTTCCCTGAGCTGCCTGCCTGGGTGAGGGCGTGGGGAGTGGGGAGCAGGGAGCGGCGGCCCCTCCCTTGGGCAGGCCCAGGACCCCTCACACGGCCCCCAGCCCCGCCTGTGACGGCAGGAGGGGCTCCGACTGAGGCCTCTCTGCCCTCCCAGTGCCCTTACGTGACTCCCACCTCCCGGGACAGCCTCTGAGCGTGAGTGCTGGGGACCACCTGGGCACGTCTTAGGGAGGGGCTCAGACGCCAGCAGCCCCGCGTGGCAGCTGCGGGGCTGGTGAGCCTCAGGCGCTGTGGGCCTGAAGCCAGAGCGGACCGTCTGCACCCTGGCCGCGGGCTGGCCGCGGGCTGGATGCGGGCCGCCCTCACAGGCTCAGGCTCTCGTTGGCACAGGTGCGCAGCAGGGGCGGCGACCCCCGGGGCCCTTCCCATGCCTGGTCGACGTGAGCTGCTCCAGGCCCTGGGAGAGGCCGGCAGGGTTGCCCCCTCCCTGGAGTCACCTGTAGAGGGGGTGGGGCAGCTGTCTCCCAGCAGCGTCAGGTCTCCGCTCCTCAGGGAGGGCCCGGACCCTCGCCAGAGCAGCCGTCCTCCTCCAGGACTCTTGTCTTAGGCCTTTATCCCCACCTCTGGAGCTGGCCTGCAGGGCCACCTAAGATGACCGAGCAGTGGAAGAGAGACGTGCATAGGGCCCTGCAGGGAGGCGCCGAGGCAGAGCCCAGCCCCGGCCCCTGGCGGCTCACGGTTTTAGGGCCCAAGGGAGGGCCTGGTTGCTTCGACCACCCCTCGACGCCTGGGGAGTCACGGCTCGTTTTCTGGACACCGGCTCCCCGGCCTGTGGCCCGTCTGCCTCGCCTGAATCCAGGGAGAAGAGCCAGGCCTGCCAGGTCCTGGGAGCAGGATAGGCAGCCGCCCTGGGAGAGGCCCCGTGGGATCCACGGCATGGGGCTCTCCTGCGCCGCCCGTCCTCGGGGACGCTCCCTCCGACCTTGCCGGCTCTGCCCTCCTTTCCCAGGACTCGGTCTACATCTTCCGGGAGGGGGCCTTGCCACCGTACCGACAGATGTTCTACCAGTTTTGCGACTTGAACGTGGACGAGTACGTACGTGCGGGGCCCCGAGACGCCGAGGTGGGGACCGTGGGACTCGGAGTCAGTACAGAGAAACCAGCCGGGGACCGAAGTGTTTCCTGTGACTCTTCCACTTCACGTCAGCCTTAATCTCTCAGCGAGAAGGCCGGCCGCCTGGGATCCTCTGCCCAGGCTAGCAGGGCCCTCGGGAGTGGCTTCCCGGGTGCGCCTCGGGCCGTCCCTCTGAGCAGCCAGCTGTGCTGCACGCAGAGCACAGCCCTGCGCCGGGGTCTTTGCTTTCCTCCTCCTTTGCCCGCATGGGGGTTCCTGACACGGTCCCCAGGCCCTGGAGTTGATCAGAATCCCAGAAACCTTTAAGCCAGTTGTTCCTAGTGATGTTTAAAAACCTGGAGGAGGGGGCTCCCCTGGCGGCGCAGTGGCTGAGGGTCCGCCTGCCAGTGCAGGGGACACGGGTTCGTGCCCCGGTTTGGGAAGATCCCACACGCCGCGGAGCGGCTGGGCCCGTGAGCCACGGCCGCTGAGCCTGCGCGTCCGGAGCCTGTGCTCCGCAACGGGAGGGGCCACACAGTGAGAGGCCCGCGTCCCGCAAAAACCGATGCAGGGTACGCGGGTTCGTGCCCCGGTCCGGAAGGATTCCACGTGCCGCGGAGCGGCTGGGCCCGTGAGCCATGGCGCGGCCGGAGCCTGTGCTCCGCGGCGGGAGAGGCCACAGTAGTGAGAGGCCCGCGTACCAAAAAAAAAAAAAAAAAAACCTGGAGGAGGGGTGCTGGGGTGGGAGGAGGCGGGAGCGTGTTATACCCAGCCTGGAACCTGGTGAACGCTCAGGCTCTCACCAGGCAAGTGGGCCGCGGCACACGCGCGCCTTGTGTGCAGTGTGGGGATCGGGGCCCCAGCTAGGGCTATACCGCTTTCGTGGACGCCCTTCATGACTGTGCTCATCCCTCGGGATGGCGCTCTGAGTGCTGCCTTTCTGAGCACAACCCCAGCTCTGCCAAAGCCACTTACTGGCACCTGTGAGCAGAGACCCCTCCCTGGAACTCTGTCTCCCAATGCCCAGGCTACAGAAGATCATTCACCGCAATGACGGGGCTGAAAGTCTCTGCACAGAGCGGGACGGCTGGTGCCTCCCCAAGACCAGTGACGACCTGAGGGACATGATGTCCCTCATGATCCGGCACACCATCCGCTCCAAGAGGCCTGGTGAGAGTGCTCGGGGTGAAGGGAAGCCCTGGGTGCTCTGGGCCCCCCTCTGGGGCCCAAGCAAGTGTCCCTAGTGGACCTGCTCCCCAAGAAATTGCACCGAGGTGGGAGCCTCTTGCCCTGACGGTGGTGGGAGGGGGGCCTTCGGAGCCAGGGCTCAGCCCTGGGGGTTGAAGGCAGGAGACGGGCCCAGAGGGATGGGGCTGGAACAGGGCTAGTGCTGCCAGGGGGGGCCGCCGCTTTATGCCCTGACGTCACCCTACATCCTCTGGCCACATGTGGGCACGTTGCTCCTGTCTCCCCTGGGAGGGCAGGGAGGGCAGGGATGGCGGGGCCTGGGCTCCTGTCGCCCGGCACTGCCTGGCCCTCCCCAGGATGAGCATCCCCGCACGGGGTGTGAGCAAGGGGAGTGAGCCCTTGCTGCACTGCAGGTCTGATGGGGCTGGGGGAGAGCAAGCGAAAGGGCCCCTCTCGGGGGTTCCTCCCAGGCTCGGAGAGGGGGCATCCCAGACCCACCAGCCCCTGTGGAGCTGGTGGGAGTAGGGGTTCTCAGCCTCCTTTAGGACACAGCCCCCGTCTGAGAGTCCAGTTGAGAAAAGCACTGACACAGAGCCTCGCACACTCCTGGGGAGTCCACGGGACCCATGAGCTGCCCGAGGCTCCTCCGGGGAAGAGGTTTTCAAGGCCCTTGGCCTCAGTGTTCCCTGAAGTGCTTTTTAAACTGGAGTGCCAGGTCCCCCAGCCATCCTGCTTCACAAAGCAGCTTCTCTAGAGCTTGAGCCCAGACACCCGTATTTGTAGACAGGCCCCCAGGAGCCGAGGGCCTCTGGCTGAGACCAGCGGCAGCTGGTGTGGGTGCGCCCAGGAGCCAACGACGGGACACACACGGCCTGTCTTTTGGCCCAGCTCTCTTCTCCAGCCCAGCCAAAGCTGACGGCGGGAAAGAACAGCTGACCTGCGGATCTGGGGACGAGGACGCAGAGGATGCGGAGGACGAGGACGACGAGGACGACGAGGACGACTTCAAGCCGTCGGACGGGAGCGAGAACGAGATGGAGACGGAAATTCTGGACTACGTGTGATGCAGCCCTGGGCTCCAGGCTGGGCCCCCCGACCAGGCCTGACGAGGGACCCAGGACAAGCCGGGGCCCCCTGCTGCTGCCCGCAGCAGCCAGAATGTCCCCAGGCGGCCCCGCTGAGGAAAGCAGCCGGGTACGGCCGACCCTGGGTGCCCGGGGCCATCCCGAAGGTGGTGCCCCGGCTTTGCACAGCCGCGAGCCAGCCCAGTGTCCCTCGGGCTGAGCCAGCTCCCAGCGCCTCCCTCTGGCCGAGACCAGCAAGCGCTGGAGGTGCAGATGGTGCAGCGGGGGAGGGCCGGCCCTGGCTGCTGCTGAGGCAAAAGGACGGGGCAAGGAGCCTGGTCTGTGGTCACAGGTGGCGAAGACTGCCATCATGTCTGGACCCCATCCATTTGGGGTAACCTGGCAAAGGGCAGGCCCAGCTGGAATTGTCCGTATTAAACACATTCTCCCAAGGAGCCTTGGTGTCTCAGTGGGGATGTCAGAGCCAGAGAGGGGTTTCCTCTTGCCTCTGGGCTTGGGCTCCCCGCTGGACATCGTTTGTCCCTTCAGTCGTTCATTCAGTGACCTCGTGGTGGGTGATGTCGGGATGGTTGAGAACAGGCCTGATGCCCCTCACCAGGTGGGCCGGGTGAGAGCAGCCAGAGGTAACTGCAGACCTGGGGGCCCTACAGCCTCATGTTCATCCCTTCCTGTTCCCAATGGTTGTGTTCTTGACCAGGGGCCCTACAGCCTCACGTTCATCCCTTCCTGTTGCCAATGGATGTGTTCTTGAGAGGCTCATGGGAGACAGACCCTGTCTCAGGGCTGCCTGGGGTGAAACCAGAGGTTTCCAGGGGTTGCAGGGTCCCTGGGTGGGGCTGAACCTGCCCTCCCCGGGGAGTACCCCCACACACACTGCCTGAGCCAGAGATGAGCCCCGTCACCCACTTCCTCAGCCGGCAGGCTGGGCCACAGAGTGTGACCACAAGTTCCAAAGTCAAACAAAAGCCCCCTCCCATGACAGGTCAGAAACCCCAGTGGCTCACAGTTGGCCTGAAGTGGTCAGTTCTGGGAACCGGCCTTGTAGAGCTGAGCGCCCCGACATGCCTCTCGCTCCTGCTGGGGGTGAGGTGCAGCTGCCTGGGCCTTCCCCCTTCCCTCACCTCTGTACCGCTTTCACTCAGGCCGAGGTCTCTGCTGGTGGATCTTAGCTGTGGCTGGTCCCACTTCTGAGCCATGCTGCTAACCTAAAGCTCAGAGGGAGGAGGTCTGGGCTCTGGGCCCCCGCTCCCGGAAGCCGCCTTGGTCCCTGTGCAGAGCTGAGAGAGGCATGCCGGAGGGCAGGGACACTCCCTCTGCAGCTAAGCCCCGCCTTACCCAGAACCTGCCTTCTGTGTGCCGAATTGGACGGTCTTCCCAGGTTCTTGAAAAGTATTCAGGGGTTCCCTACTTAGAAACCGAAGTACCTACACACACCCCCTTTTAAAAAGCATTTTATTATGGAAAATAGCAAATATACACAGAAGTTCTGAGTATTGTATAATAAGCCCCTATTTATCCATCACATGGCTTTACCAGTACCATCCCATGCTTCAGTGTGTGTCTAACACATCAGGACTTTTTGTTTTCAAAACAGTGATGCTGTCATCACACTTAACAAATTAACAGCAATTCAGCTTCGAATGCGCCCATCCAGTTGGGAGGCACCGATGTCTGCTGGGTCCCTTTAGTGACATGAACATTGACTGACCAGCAGATTCGGGTGCTGTCACCCTCATCCGCTGGCCTCATTTATGGCTCCACAGCAATGACCAGTGATGACCAGGGGGACGCTTTTAGCTTTGTGATGATCTGTTTCAATCAGTTGCAGTCATGCTTTTTGCTGACCTACTTGTCTCATGTCTGGCCTGAGAACAGCCCTGGGCTGGGTCCTGTGTCCTTTGACGCACCCTCTGGGCTTCCGTGCCTTCTTGCTTCCAGCCACCGTGATGGCCCAGGCTCCTCCACTGCATTTCCTGTCTTAGATCCAGCCTAGCCGTTGCTCCAGGGTGCCACCTTCCTTGGTGTGGAAATGGTGTTTAGACAACACCCCAATCTGGGCAACAGTGGGTGCTTGTTGCTCCTGGGTTTTCTGTACCTCTAGGGCTTTGGATTACACAGAGCTAGAAAATGGACACTTTTTACCCCCCCAAAAATAATAATAATGTTATGAGTTCATATAGATATCTCCCAATGAAAATGTAAGATTATAAGGTTTTACTTCTCTGCGCAGCATGTGGGATCTTAGCTCCCCGACCAAGGATTGAACCCACACCCCCTGCACTGGAAGTGCAGAGTCTTAACCACTGGACCGCCAGGAAGGTCCCTCTCTGATCTTACTCATTTCTTTTTCCACCTATGCTGAAAATCTTACACCACTAGCATAATTACTTTTTCTCCTATAACATACATATATTTTCAAAATAGAAAATATTATAATAGATCATATAAATTATCAAGTATACAAATTTAAATAACAAGTGATAAATTATATAAAGTAATCTTTGATAAAATAATATGACCATCAAAGATCATTTAAGATTGTGTTGCACTTGCTTTCTCCTTAGGATAAATGCTGCTATGAACATACAGTCACGCCTCCAAGTCACTTGAAGTAACTTTTCTCTGTGGCTAGAACATCTACTGATATAGTTAGGTTCCCTACAACTTAAAATGGACGTTTCTCTGCCTGAAAACAAATTTTACATGTTCCTTTTGAGCACCTTGTAAACAGTAGACCCTGATAATTATTGTGCTATGAACCTCTCAGACATCGTTCCCTGAGCAAAGGTATCAGTGGGGAAGTTAAGAGAGGTAAAGACACATGTCCAGATCCCACAGCTATCGAGTGGCAGTGTCAGGGTTGGACCTGTGTCTGTCTGATTTACAACGTCTGCAAATGTTAACACAGGTGCATTTGCCCTTACAGAATGTGCTCCAGCCCAGAAAAACATTTTTAAAAAGTATTTGTGCCATTAAATCAATTTCGTTAGTTTTCTACTTTGTCAGTTACACCAATTCAGAACTTTGGGTACTTCCAACCTACACTCTTTGGAAGGTCATAGATGCTCCAAGCATACAGTGATAACCATGGGGTCTTTCTGAAGGAAAATATGCTTACCCACAAATATGTGCATCAAGTTTCAGGGGCATCCAGGCTCTCATGGCCTGTCCTCAAACTTCCTAACAGGTCCATGGACCAGGATTCAAAACTCCCAGTTCAGACATTTGGATTAAATTTTCTCCACCAAATTACCATAATGCGGCGGATATGTAACAACCACACTGCTCCAAGTTTTGTCTGATTTTCCCAGTGTTCTTTTGTGAGAACCAAGGAGTCAGAAGATTGCCTGAGAGAGGAAAAAGCTACAGCTGAGGCCGTGCACAGCAAATCCCACACAATCCACAGCAGGGGGACCGAGGTGGCCCAGGCACGCAGGCCAGCCCCTCTTCCAGGTTAGAGTCCCAGGGCTCTTGGGAGATCTGTCAAAGAAAAACCAGACTACACTCCAATAAAAATTATTATACACACACACACACACACACACAGCTGGACAGTTGTTAAAGCAGTAAGAAGACTTTTCTTTTTTGGCCGCGCCGCATGGCTTATGGGATCTTAGTTCCCCAACCAGGGATGGAACCCAGGCCCCCCGCAGTGGAAGCGTGGAGTCTTAACTACTGGACCACCAGGTAGTTCCCCAAAACAGATGAGACTTCCATATAGAGCTGAGCTCAAGTCCAAATACAGCCTGGGCAAGTGGGGTTTCCTAGCCAAACAAGGGTGAGAGAGAGTCTGTGGATGTAAACTTACTAAGAGGAAACACCAGGGCTTCCCTGGTGGCGCAGTGGTTGAGAGTCCGCCTGCCGATGCAGGGGACGTGGGTTCGTGCCCCGGTCCAGGAGGATCCCACATGCCGCGGAGCGGCTGGGCCTGTGAGCCATGGCCCCTGAGCCTGCGCTGCGCGTCCGGAGCCTGTGCTCCGCAACGGGAGAGGCCACAACAGTGAGAGGCCCGCGTACCGCAAAAAAAAAAAAAAAAAAAAAAAAAAAAGAGGAAACACCAGGGGAGAGGGGGCTTCCGGAGACACTGACCTAACAGGATTCTTGCTGAAGACAGACCAGGGCAGTCACCGATCATCGGTGCGGGGGACAGCAGAGGATGGGGACCCCAATCAGAGATAAAGGTGGGGCAGATATGGAGGGTGGGGCATTCCGGTTAAAGCAATTTAGCGAGATTCTTGCTAAAACTGGACGATGCAGAGTTGAAGAAGTCTGGGAACCTGAGTAGAGTTTGGTCAAGGAGAGGCTCTTTGTCAGACCTCAGACAGTGGCCAAAGCTTTCTTGGCTGAGATGAATGCCCCTGAAGTTGGTCTCTAACACAGGGTCAACCAATGAACACATTGGACAGACCCAGCCAGGAAGCCGGGGCGGATTTTTTTTTACTGGACAGACAGTGTTAGGCTCTCCCAGGCACTTCTGGGCATGCTCCTCCTGTGTCTATCGATCACCTACTCTGTGCAGGACCATGTGAGGCCCTCACTATTAAATGAAGAGGCAGCCACCCCCTATTAGTGAGCTGCAGGCCCCCTTCCCTCTCCTGCCCCCTTCTTTTCCTCCTCGGCTACTATAAATAACACTGCACTGAACATCCTGGAATGTTCCCCTCCCCCCTATTTAGAATTACCTCCTTTAGAGCAGATTCTTAGAACTGCAGGAGCTGGGCAAAGATGTGAGTCAACAAGTACATTTCCTTGTCACTGGCAGCACCTCTCAACACCTTTGCACCCCAGCCCCACACTCGCCCCAAGAGCCCAGCCTGCACGGCCTCTTCCCAGTGTCCTGACTCCCTCCCACCTGCAGCCGCCCACCCCTCCCCACCTTTCTCCAGCCTCTCTCCATTCACTCTGCGTCACAAAAAATCTGGGCACAGGAAATGGTAGGCGGACAGGCAGACAGACAGATGGACAGCTGTGTATCTGTA